TTCTCTGGAATACTTGGGCATTCGCTTGACCCCCACCTATGACTCCCTTTTTGCTGCAAATTATTATCCTTTGCTTAGCTCTTTATCTTCTCTTATGCATTCCTGGCAATTTCCGCACCTGTCTTGGATAGGACGGGTTCATTCAGTGAAAATGACCATTTTGCCGAAATTGTTATATTATTTTCGCACCCTCCCTGTGCGGGTTCCTCCTCACTTTCTTCGGTTGCTTCAGGCGAAGTTTATGCGTTTTATTTGGGCCGATAAACACCCCAGAGTCTCTAGAAACACGCTCTTTGCTCATAGACTCCAGGGTGGTCTTGGGGTACCCAATGTAACTAAGTATTATCAGGCGAGCCAGATTGCCCCGCTGTCTATGTTGCATGCTTCCTCCGATGTTCCTCTCTGGGTCCTGCTGGAACTACCTAATTGTGCCCCTATCGCACTGTCAACACTCCTATGGCTTCCCCCTGCCCTGCGCCCTATGGCGCTGAGTCCGATGTTGCTCCATGGCCTACAAGTCTGGGACTCAGTACGTTACTCCAGTGGCCTGATGTCACCCTTTTTGCCCTTGCTTCCAATCGTTAACAACCCTCTTTTCCCACCGGGTCTAGATCACATGAGGGCATTCTCTTGGTGGGTGGCTCATGGTTTCTCACAGGTGCAACACTTTTTGACTTTTCGGTCCTTTCCCACCTGGAATGTCCTTCGGGAGTCTCGGGATGTTCCCCCAGCGGAATTTTTTTTCGGTACCTTCAATTGCGGCACTGGCTACTTTCGCTGAGGGCCACTTCTGCTTTCCCATATCAGAAATCTGCCTTTGAACGGCTTTGCCAGCAGCACCCGGGCGCCCCAGGCCTTATCTCCCTTCTTTACGCAGCTTTGAACAGACGCTCGTCTCACACTTCTCTTTCATATGTTGTTCAGTGGGAACGCGACCTGGGAGTGGCTGTGGATCCGGAGGACTGGAGTAGGGCCTGGTCACTCATAGCTAAATGTTCATTTAATACGACCACGCTGGAAGCAGCCTACAAGGTGTTGTTCCGTTGGTATTGGGTTCCAGCTCGTCTGGCCCAGGCTAACCCTGCCTGTAGTGATCGATGTTTTCGGGGTTGTGGCCATCGCGGCGATGTACTGCATATCTGGTGGTCATGCCCGAGGTTGGTTCGTTTTTGGTCTCGTGTGTTTGGCCTCCTTTTCACTTTGTTCCATCTCTCTATACGCCGGGATGCTCGGTATGCTTTGCTTCATTGCCCCATACCGGGCCTTTTGGCTCGTCAGCAGCGGTTGGCTTCCTATTTGTTTTTATCGGCTACTAGGACAATTGCTCAGGCCTGGAAGAGTCCGTTTGTACTTTTCCAGGGGGTGCGGGATCGTATGACTACTATGATGCTCAACGAACAGATGTCGAGCATATGCAACGACTCTCAACATAAATTTTTGAAAGTTTGGGAGCCTTGGTTGCAATACGCCTTTCCCACGCTCCCCCCGACCAGTGTGGGGAGGTAATGGAGTTTGGTATTGGCGCTCGTGGACCCCTGCTCTTTGGTGTGGTTTTTTTTTTTTTTTTTTTTTTCCCTTTCTTCTCTGCTCTTCTTCTCTCCTTTTCTGTTTGTTTTGATGTGACAGTGGACAGCTGTCTTTAGTTGAGATAATCAAAATCTCACTGATGTTACTGTAATCTATGTGCCATTGATAGCCCCTGCGTGGGCATACGTTTTGCCTTATTAGAATTAGAGCGTTGTCTGCTCTATTTTGCCTTTTTTATTGGTGCAATTGATAGCCCCTGCGTGGGCGTATTTTGTTGCTTGTGTTTTACACTGTTTAAAATTAATAAAAACCATTGAAATACAAAAAAAAAAAAAAAAAAAAAATAAGAATTCTGCTTTAAGTAAAATTCTTGCTTTCCTAGCCATTGCAGGATACTCCGATACTGCACAAACGTTTGTAGGTATTCGATCTATGTCATTTGGGAACAACACTTACATATGCTGTGGAAAGATCTGTTACCCCTGGATACCCTTGGAAGCCCATGGATGGTGTTATCTAGCTTACTTAATACCCGTCATGGGAGTCCTTGGAGGGAAAGGGGATGCGCACACACACTTCCTGGAAGCAGGGCCCCATCCAAAAGTATCCACTAAGGTACAAACAGAAACGGGACCTGTTTCTAATTCAGGATAAGATTTGGGCTTGGTTTCCATAATGGACAGGTTGGGGAGTGGAGGTAATGAATAGATTGAATAACTATTCAAACATTCTAGATGACATAATGGAAAAGAATACTGTGGATATTAAACTCTTGAGTGTAGAGCAAAGAGCAATTAGAAAGCAGTTAGAAATACATAATTTTGCTATTGAATCTATGAGTTCTTCCTTAACGGGATTATGTGAAATGACTGAGGAATATGAATGCTGTACTTGGATACACAACACTAGTTTTGATGTCCCAGACTATTACGACATAGTTAGCAAACATAGGGAAGAGGTCTCAGCCCTCCAAGAGAAGGCCAGGAAAATAGCTGAAGAAGGATGGAATCCATTTAAGGGCCTAGGAAGGATTTGGTGATTTCTTTGGAGGTATTTTTCTATGGTTTAAGAAAGCAGGAATGCTGATATTAATGTGCCTACTCTTTTTCCTTTTTCTATATGCAGTATATAGAATTGTTACCTTTATATGTAATCAGAGAAAAGAAAATAGCTCTGTGAGGGAAATCACGTTGTGATTTAAGAGGGCATTGTGGGGGAAAGGGTTAATTTCTTATGCCTGTCTAAAATCTACTTTTATAATTCTGAAAAATACCAACATCTAATTTCTCCCTCACCGATAGAGAACTTTGATCCAATCAATACAGAATATTTATTCTGCCACTGTTTATTCATATCTCTAGAGCAGGGGTGGGCAAACGTTTTGACTTGAGGGCCGCAATGGGTTCATATATTGGACCCGGGGGGCCGGACCAAGAGTAGATGAATGATGTGTATGCGTCATCCATAGTAAGTATAGTAATATTCCCCCATAGTAAGCATAGTAATTCATCCCCCATAGTAATTCATCCCCCATAGTAATTCATCCCCCATATAGTAATTCATCCCCCATATAGTAATTCATCCCCCCTATTAAGTCCCCAAGTCCCCCCTGTGTCAATTCACTTACCTTTGCTCCGCGCGTTCCTCTCGCCGTGTTCCCTCGCCGTTCCGGTGTAGCATGAAAATCTGTCTCCTATGAGGATCTGTCCCCCTCGACGTATCTGCGCATGTGCCTGTTTCAGGCATTAGCAGCCGATCGGCGATCTCCGGCACATGCGCAGATACGTCGAGGGGGACAGATCCTCATAGGAGACAGATTTTCATGCTACACCGGTCTTCAGGGCGGACTGTGAGAGGAGCCTAGCGGGAGCCTAGCTCCGCGGGCCGGATTAAAAGGTCCGCCGGGCCGTAGTTTGCCCATTGCTGCTCTAGAGTGTCATGTTAACCTGCCCGAAAATTGTTAATATCACACTAGCTACAAATACTGAACTTTGGATTCCTGCAAACCATAGCACTTTTATATAATAACTATTAGAATGAGATCATGTTATGAAATATGCTTAGCTAATGATGTTCTGATTGGTTGAATTGATATTGGTTGTAATAATCTGATTGGATGGAGAGACATCCTCCCTCCATAACAGTCTGTATTTAATTCCTTCTTTCGCTATCATTAAATGAGCACACTTAGAGCCTACCTGCCTCTGTGGTCTTTCATTGTGTGCTACCAGAATTCTGACGGGGTCTCCCAGATCATCCGAGGGGCCAAATTAACCCCTTCCTAACAGTTTTATGGTGTCATTTGTTTCCCTAAACACTCAGCATATGGTAAATTAAATCTTCTCATCTCTGTATCAGAGGTTTCTGTTTGTTTTCAAACATAAGGCATGTGGCATGGCAATGCACAGATTAAAGGATAAATTCGCTTCTGGGAACATGTCCATGTTCCCCCCGTTTTTTAAGGGGGAACATGTAACATGATCCCATAGCAGCAGGCGCCGCCCCCCCAACAGATAGTACAGGGAGCAGCCTCCACGTACTATCAAATTTGAAAACAGAGCGGCTGTGTGGGGCTCCGCCCACACAGCCACCTCATTCATTCACGGATTAACGTGAATGAACTGCAAATCCAGACAGCCTTAGCAGTTATGGGCTTGTAGTTTTTAATGAACTAGCACGGCACTGTGAAAAACAGACACAGTAGCAAAAACGTAGCACATATTACACATTGTTAGGCACACAATTAACCCCTTGATTGTCCCTAAAATGTTAAACCCTTTGCAGCCATTGTCATTAGTTACAGGGATAGTGTAGAGTATCAGCACTGATCACTGTATTAGTGTCACTATTAATGTTAGTGTACCTCCCAGCCAGCATCAGCTAGCAACAGATTGCCTGTCATACTATCACAGTCCTACTATAAGTCACTGATCACCGGTTTGACCCACATCCAATCCGCATGACACACGAAATAACATTGCTTCCTATGATGCCTGTTCACATACGACCGGTGCACTGGCAAAATGAAAAAGAGTGCTGTCCGATTTCTGAGCAGGGCAGTCTGGTTCAGGTGCAGATTACATTATTTTTTCCTCTGATTTTTGTATAATGGGTATTGCAAGGTGGAATATAAAATGTGGGACCAGTAGTTTTTTAAGGGAGCAAGTTTGCAGTCTCTAACCACTGTAGAAATATCTTCAGTCTCCATTTGTCCATAATGTAAAGCGCTGAGCAAACTGTCGGCACTATATAAGTCCTGTATAATAATAATAATTTGTAGCATATCAACAGTGTCTAGCCATCTACTATACATCCAGTCTGACAGTTTTTGTAACACTGTATACACTAAATATTATTGGACAGCCTTAGGTGATTTCAGTGCCTGCTCAGGTTTACCATCACTAATTTCAACTGTTGTGTATGTTAAGGTACAAAAGTGAAAACTCTAATGCAATATAAAAAATAGGACATACCTTTATCATCAAAGCGAGCTATACCAGCAGCTACAGCATCTTCCAATGTGTCCGTGGATTGAATTAGCTGTAATAATAAAAACATTATTAGTCTCGAAAATAAATCATGGGTTAAAAATTTCAAAGATGTAATGCTATAGTAATATGTTCATCTACATAAAACTTTAAATAATCTCACTTTTCTACTAATAGGCTATATTGTTATTCTACAAGGAAAAAAAAAAAAAAAGAAGCCATTACTGAGCTGAACCTGAGCTCAGAGCTCCTACGTCAGGGAAGAGAAAGCACATGTGATGGGGGTTGAATCCGAGAAAAAACTTGCTCCCGTAATGGTGGAAGTGAGCAGTATGGCTGGGAGTATCCTAGCAAGATGGCAGGGCAGGATGATGCCAATTCTGGGAGGTTTTCGGTCAGGCTTAAAGTAGTAGTAATCGTTAATACTTTTACCTACAGGTAAGCTTATAATAAAGCTTATCTGTAGGTAAACTGAATATCTCCTAACCACGTGCACCATTTAGGAAATATTCTCTCTTTTTGAGAGCCGGCACGCATGCGCTCTGAAGGAACGGCATACCCATGCCATTCCTTTAGAGCACTGTGCCGTGGCCCAGGACATTATTGTGGCTTGGCCAGTCAGGCAGCCAGAGTTCGGGAACCTGTAAGGAAGACCGGGTAAGATTGAAGCCTCTGCAGCGGTCACAGCACACCACTGGAGGGCTTCATTTTAAAGTAAGTTCTTCATAATGTGCTAGTATGCGATGCATACTAGCACATTATGACATTACCTTGCAGGGGATTTTTTTGTTGTTTACTACCACTATGAAGGATGTGCGCAAATGGCCTATACCTACATCGAGGGCATCAATTTTGGTCAAAGCTACACAGATTGTTTTTATCTACAGACACCCCCTACATGCACAGGCAGTTTCTGGTAAAGGTCAATTGTGTCTAAGTAACTTACACACCTTTACTAGAAGATAAATTAAGAATGGGCATACTTTATTCTAAGGCATCTCAGATGTGTTTAAATACTATAGCAAGTCAACTTTCACTACAAAAAAGAAACTAAATACGAACTTCAGGCAGATGCTAAAAAACACACACACACTAATTGAGTGATGTAAAAAAAAATAATATATATATTTATATTTATTTCTAAAAGTAGCCACAGCACTCTATGTTTGAGATAAATGCCCAGGTGCTCACCCACAAAGAAATCCATATAAATCCAAAACTTGTTTAAAAAGTCACTCACGGGTCTTGCAGAGGAAGAAGATCAAAAACAGCAGTGTTTTTTATTGTCAACGTGTCGATGAAGCTCAGTCCATTTTTCTTAATAAAAACACTGCTGTTTTTGATCTTCCTCCTCTTCCCAAGACCAGTGTCTTTAACCAGTTTTGGAGATACACTATATTTGCCAAAAGTATCGGGACACACCACCAAATTATTGGATTCAGGTTTTCCAATCACCTCCATGGCCACAGGAGTTCAAAATCAAGCACCTAGGCATGCAGACTGCTTCTACAAACATTTGTGAAAGAATGGGTCGCTCTCAGGAGCTCAGTGAATTCAAGTGTGGTACCGTGATAGATTGCCACCTGTGCAATATTCCACAGTCAACTGTTAGTGGAAGCAAATGGGAACAACAGCAACTCAGTCATGAAGTGGTAGGCCACGTAAAAAAAACCAGAGCCGGGTCAGTGCATGCTGAAGCACATAGTGCACAGAAGTCGCCAACTGTCTGCAAAGTCAATGGCTAAAGACCTCCAAACTTTGTGTGGCTGTCAGATTAGCACAACAGTGCACAGAGAGCTTCATGGAATGGGTTTCCATGGCCAAGCATCTACATCCAAGCCTTACATCACCAAGTGCAATGCAGAGCGTCAGATGCAGTGCTGTAAAGCACACTGCCACTGGACTCTAGAGCAGTGGAGACATGTTCTCTGGAGTGACGAAGCACTATTCTCTGTCTGGCAGTCTGATGGACATGTCTTAGTTTGGCAGTTGCCAGGAGAAACGGTACTTGCCTGACTGCATTGTGCCAAGTATAAAAGTTTGGTGAAGGGGGGATTATGGTGTGGGGTTTTTCAGGGTTGGGTTGGGCTTGGCCCCTTAGTTCCACTGAAGGGAACTCTTAAGGCATCAACATATCAAGACATTTTGGACAATTTCATGCTCCCAACTTTGTGGGAACAGTTTGGGGATAGCCCCTTCCTGCTCCAACATGACTGCGCACCAGTGCAAAAAGCAAGGTCCATAAAGACATGGCTGAGCACGTTTGGGGTGGAGAAACTTGACTAGCTTGCACAGAGTCCTGACCTCAACCCGATAGAACACCTTTGGGATGAATTAGAGCGGAGACTGCGAGCCAGGGCTTCTCGTCCGACATCAGTGCCTGACCTCACAAATGTACTTCTGGAAGAGTGGTTAAACATTCCCATAGACACACTCCTAAACCTGCGGACAGCCTTCCCAGAAGAGTTGAAGCTGTTATAGCTACAAAGGGTGGGCCAACTCAATATTGAACCCTACGGACTAAGATTGGGATGCCATTAAAGTTCATGTGCGTGTAAAGGGAGGTGTCCCATATATCTGGCAATATAGAGTGAGTGTGTGTTTGTGTGTGTATATATACACACACACATATATGCGCGTGTATATATTTATCAACATTTTCATTGGACACAACATTGGGACACTATACTACAAAATACTCCTACTAATGCGGGCCATTGATTGCAGGCAAGATTTGTTAATTTGCACACACAAAGTATTTTTCCTAACAAATTTATTCAAGACCATGTTGCAAAAATGAATACACCCCAATGAAATCTTAGGAGCAAAACTAAATTTTAGACAACAAAATCCTAATTAACAAGAATTCAACTACAGATGAGTCTAATTATTCATTGAACAGCTGACAGTTGATTAGAATAGGGTGTCGTTAAAGAAAACCCATTCCCATTTCATGCGATCAGAAATGTTCCCTGTGAATGAACCCTAAAACACAACGATTCAATGAAAGCTTAAGGGATAAGATCACCTTTCGTAGCATGTTACATGTGACACACATAATTTGGGTGTAAAATTTAACATGCTCCAGACCAGACCTACTGGACTCTAGTTCCCCCTGTGGATCTTCTTCCAGCACCTGCTGTCACAGTTTGAAATTAGCGCAGCTGTGCGGGGCTCCACCCTCACAACTGCATCATTCATTCCCAGTGATCTGTGAATGAGAGAACTACCAGTACCGTCAGCCATAGCTGACAGCTTTGCAGTTCTCAATGAACTGCGAGGGTGCTGTTGAGCGTTCTTGCAGTTCATTCACAAGCCCTACAGAATGTAAACAGTGTGCCCGTTTCGGAGGAACGGGCCGAAAGTTGCAGGGCTTGCCTGCAGCAGTCTGACATTGCACGTATTTTTTGCACGTAATATGTGCATGTATTTTTTTTTTTTTTTTAAACAAAAGGTGAACTTAGCCTTTGAATCTGATTGGTTATTGCACAACATACCTTATTTCTTTTAGTTACATACAAAAGGTTTCATAAGCTCCTGGTGACATTGCAAGGATTGTTTTTGTACTTATTTTTTGGAATAGAGTACCTCCCTAAATTTGAAAAAAAAAAAAAAAAAAAAAAACACCACAATCTGGCTACTTAGGTTTTATCTGCACAACATTACTTCTAATAGATCTTCACTGGTCCTCTGAGGGAATATTTCTTGAAGTTTTTGGAGTTTTTCATCTTTGGTCCCATCATTAACCTGAGATATATTTGTTCCAGTAGTCTTTTTGGGAGGAGGGTATTCATCTGCTGAATCGTCTGTGGCAGATTCTGAAACTCCATTCCTTTAACAAAAAAGACAATGTTTTAGATGAGTGTGTTCATATGAAAACTGCAATTGCCTAATAGATTAGGGATTTTTTGTTGATACCCACTACTGAACCCAGAGGAAAAATAATACAGTATGTTTGTACACCCTGAAAAATCCTTTTCTTCCTCATTCATTGAGGGACAAAGGAAGTATTTCACCAAAAGCATTCCAACTGAGCATTCTAACAGACGCAACATGCACAGCAGAAAAAACTGGGGGCTACCTGCAGCGACACCTGAAACTAGAAAGTTGGCATCAGATAAGAATGCAGCCCCACAGTCGTGCACTGGTTCGTGCAGTTGAACGAGGATAATGCAAACATTTTGGGCTTACAGCCTCAACTTGATAAAGTACATTAGTAATAAAGACGAGGTGTAAGGGGAGCAACATAGTGTTACTAGAGGGAGATATCTATGTGGGAGGTGTGAGACAATTATTAGCAGTGTGGGAATGTGCCAGAAATTGAAAACCACCCTCTTCCTGCTTTGCTATCAACATTGAATTTTAAGTTAGCGATGGCTAAGGAATCTGGCCTAGTTAGCAAAGGTGAATTTTATGTGTGGATAGTTACATCTCTACAGTTTATATTATTCCAAAGTACCATAAAAACCCATTGAATCTGCAATCAATGGACCTTTGGAAAGAATGGTGAGGTTTGTAGACATACAATACAACTAAAGGATATTGTTGTAAGCTGCCACCCTTTGTTTAGAACGCACAAGAAATACTTTCTAAAATTGGGACAGAGAGGGAGGGGGGAGAGAGAGGAGAGGGGGGAGAGAGAGAGGAGGGGGGGAGAGAGAGGGGAGGAGGGGAGGGGGGAGAGAGAGAGGGAGGGGGGGGGAGAGGGAGAGAGGAGGGGGAGGGGGAGAGAGATGGAAGGGGGGGGGGGAAGAGGGAAGGGGGGGAGGGGGGGGAGTGGGGGAGGGAGGGGAAGGGGGAGGGGGGGAGAGGGGAGGGGGAGGGGGGGAGAGGGAAGGGGGAGGGGGGAGAGGAAGGGGGGGGGGAAAGGGAAGGGGGGAGAGGAAGGGGGGAGAGGGGGGGGGAGAGGGGAAAGAGAGGGGAGAGAAGAGGGGGAAAGAGAGGGGAGAAAGAAGGGGAAGAGAGAGGGGAGAAAGAGGGGAAAGAGGGGGAGAAAAGAGGGGAAAGAGAGAGGGGGGAGGGGAAAAGGGGAAAGAGAGGGGAGAAAGAGGGGAAAGAGAGGGGAGAAAGAGGGGAAAGAGAGGGGGAAAAGAGAGGGGAGAAAGAGGGGGAGAGAGAGGGAGAGAGGTTTTTTGACTCTGGAGGGGACGAGAGAGAGAGGGGGGGGGGCGGGGGGGGAGAGAGGGGGGAGAGGAGGGGGGGAGAGAGGGGGAGAGGAGGGGGGGGGGGAGGGAGGGGGGGGGAGAGGAGGGGGGGAAGAGAGGGGGGGGGGGCAGAGAGAGGGGGGGGGGAAGAGGAGGGGGGGGGGGGGAGGAGGGTGAGACACTATTCACATAGGTGTTTTTAAAAAATCCAGGCAAAAGCAATCAGGCCAAGAAAGGAAGGACCTGCTATAATTGAAAGTGGTTGAAGCTTTGCAAGCAACAGAGCTGGTACAGATATCACGCAGTATGTCTCAGATTGGTAAGAATGTAAGTACTGAATAAACATTGGCACATGTTCAACAATAGTGGAATTTGATGGTCCGAATCTACTTTCAGGGGCTAGATGAGCCGGGATTTTGCATGGCCATCTTAGTCCACTCCGAGCTGGTCAGGTAACCCAAATAAACTAAGCTATCAGAGTTCCTGAGGGTAAAAGGGATATATCTGTGGAACAAAGTCAAATCTGTCCCTTTGAAGAAAAAAATCAAGGACTTATTTAGTACCAGTATCACCAAGAGATTTTGAATTAATAAGTTAACTGTGCGACAAGCTTGAAGCTTACATGTTTGAATGCCCTGTCAAAAATACTGTGTCAAAAAATGTAACATCAACTACGAGTGAGGGTAGGAGAACACCACTAGGAACAGAAAAAAACAGGAAAAAAAGTCTGATAGCGTAACACTATTTACAGGTGCATAATGGTCAGCCAACAGAATCGAAAGTAAAATGAATAGATGTACTTAAAAAGAAGTATGGCCAAAGCTTTTTTTGGCCATATTTCTCTTGGTCACAGGTGTGAACTTACTTTTTTACTCCTCTGACCCAGAATCAGCCAACAGTGGGCTAAACCCTGATTTTAGCTGATGCCACAGAGCCGCTCCAGTCTCTGGAAAGATAATGACAATATTGAAATCCACCCAGATGCCTCACCAGCAGCTGTCTCAGCCTCTCATTCCGCTCCCGCCCTCACTCCAGCCCAAAGCTCCACTAAGCGCTGAAGTGATCAGTGCGTATGTGATTGCTCAGTTCTCGTGCTTAGAGTAAGAAGGTTGACAGCTGCAGCACCACAGAGATTCTGCAGCCATAGAGGTAAACATATATATTTTATTCTCACACTTCTCTTTTAATTCAAGAGCAAAAAGGGGGAATTTTGACACTGTCCTGTCAAAAGAAAAAATGTGGACATACTGTATAAGTTGAGCATTTGGCCTAAATACGGAGTTAAACCTCTAGGTCTTGTAATTATTTGACCATCGTGCCATTGCCAAGGAATAAGTCAAAAGGTGGTATGAAGGAGCGACATGATCCGCAGTGATGAACTCAACTCAAACACCTCTGTAATCTTCAGCATTAGTACCATAAATGTATGAGAAGTTGTGCTTAATTTGCGTTATGAACTTGTTGGCTTGCCATGTTTGTCAGACTTAAACCCATGCCATTGTTACTGCCCTGCTTTTGCCGGGACAGAATGCACACTATTGAATGGCAGGCATAGTAGTATTTCAATCTATGTATTACTATCAGGCACAACAAGTGGACCAATTGCTGTCCTAAAGTGGATATTTTGTTAAACAGAAGGAAGGTGTCACTAGTTAAACAGTGCAACAACCCCATACACACTGCGGCTTCACCTTGAGGGATCCCTCTTGGTCCTTAAGACTCTAATTACTCCATATTACCAGTATGATACCTAGGATTCAGTGAGAGAAAAACTCTTCTATCTTATGAATATATATTGTTGTGAGCCTGAGAAATTGTGTAAGAGGATGTAGACGTGACTCAAAGGGATTATCTTGAATGGGCCATGGTGAATGGAACAGATAATAGAGGATGTTCTTTGGTGACAATGCTGTCATTATTAACCTGGTGGAGGATTGTGAATTTTTTTTTAATAACTTATTGTGTTCAATGTTTCTTCTGTATTTGTTATATACTAATGAAATAACTGCTAGCTATAATGCAGATGTCCCACTAAATGACCTCTGAGTTTGGGATCACTTTATTGGTCACAGTAGCTTAAGGTTCCAATTGAGGCAGATGTTCCTTTTGAAAAAAGGAAAAAGTGACCACGCTGAAATACAACTCCTAAAACTTTTCTGCCAGAAGAACTGGGGCAAAGACATCCTGGTCCTGAAGACTCCAAAAATCTAAATGCAGATCTGCCATCTGTGCAGAAACATAGAAAGGTATGAGGTGAAAAGCCAAAGAGGGAGCGGAAAGCAGAGATTCAGTTTTTATCCCTGAAATATCATGCTTTGCTAAACACCTGAGAGGCAAGTGCATGCGCACGGAGGAAATCGGGGGGCTCATCTCCAGTAATATCCTTGATAATATTAAGGGCCAGTAGAAAAATGCAATGTCACTCAAAGACCACGCGAGTCAGGTGCCTATGAAAGAAAGTTCAAAAGACCAGTACTTTAAAAAGAGTGCTCTACACATCTGTCTTGAGAAAAGGCAGATGAAGACAAGCCAATGTGCTCTCAGCAGCTCATCACAGATGAAATCTAAAGTTCCAACGAATACTCCTTCAGGTGAAAGTATAACCTGACAGTATATGACTTCCCGCAATAAACTGGCTTTGCAGCTTTTTCCAGACTTTAAATATGTTTTCCATCTCCTTAGAAACTTCCTGGCATTATGTTCTCTAGGATGTCTGTACTAGTAAATGCACTAAAAGAGTCCAAATATATGAGCTTTACATTGAATATAATGGGCTGTATTAAAGCCTGTCTATGTTCAGGCATCTGATAAACCCAGTATGATTTCTGCAATTAAAATGAAATGCATTTTCACACAGTGCTAGCGAATGCTGGATAAATCTGTTGTGTCATTTAATGTGACATGTTTTAAAAAGTGTTGTTTCGCTTTGGTCCCCTCGGAGTGTGATGGAAGACCTGAAAGCATTTGAAGGATTTAAGTATTAAGTGTAACTGAAGAACAGTTACCCTTATATACGGTGGATCTCAAATACTGTAACCAGCTCTACACAAAGATGAGGGATACACTGACTTTTCATATACAAGAAACCATGCGCCACAAATGTACACTTTTCACAGCTCTGTATAATGTTAATAAAAAATACAGAAATAAGTTTAAGTTTATTCCTATGATGGCACAAGCACCCACGAAGAAAGCACTATCAGGGATAAACATATAGCACGCTTGCTGTGGCCAAAAGCCAAGGGATTCACTTCAGTGCCTCTGTGAATGCTGCACTAAAATAGATGTGTCATGTGACAGTTCCCAGCAGGAGTATCAACTTTTCTTGTTCAGCAGCTACTTCACAGCTGCTTATAGTAACAGCTGTCTAATGACACAAACCTACAGAAGAGACCAGGGGGTGATGCATGATTCGGCAGTGACACATTAACACATTAGAAAGCATTTACACTGGTTACAGTCAGTAGTGATGATTTAATGGAGAAGTTGTTGGCTGTGGCATATAAAAACTAGAGGAGAGCTGTCTGCAAAATGAATGTTCACTAAGCTGGTAAATAAAGTGAAGCTGTGTTCACTTCAATCAAACCAATCCATTTTTTAAAAACTTTCCTTACACCGTGATTTGTTATTTTAACAGCTTGCAGA